GCATGGGGCCATATTTTCAGCTCTGTCATCAATTTCTTTTGGTTAAAACATAAGGGACTTATATTTTCCCATCTCAAAGAAAACAAATTTGTATATTTCCATATTGTATATTCTTGAGGTTCGTTGTTTACTACTTAAAAGGAGAGTTAAAAAACGATATTATGTTTTTCCGACATCTGGCTCATTCTGAATGTAATAAGATGGCACTTGAAAATAGATTACCGTAACATCAAAATTTCCATCTCTTAAGAACAGAAAATACAATTGTTCGACAAGCTCTGTGATAATGTATTCCTACTTCTGTCTTGAATTGATTTTAATATTTTGACATTTGCCAAGGTCACCTTGAAGGTTGTATCATAGGTAACATCATTTTATTTATTTTTTGGTTGAACTGAACTGTAGACTGGTTTCTGGAGAATTCTATGAAATAAGAACTTTTTGTACTGCAATTCATTGACATCTTGTTTTTGTTTTGATGATTTGGACAAGTTCAAATAGTTGTCTTCAATGTCATCAACGTTGGATTGATATAAAAATAAATACAATTACTAAATATAGTATTAATAAGATGAAATAAACTGCATATTGATAATGATAATGATATAGGTCAAGAATTGTTGGCAAATAACAAATGGAAATGAGAATAAATATTTAAACTGGGTTGGGTTTGCAGGCGGGTGTGGTCATTACAGACAAGCACGTCATATAAGTCCCTGGATATCCAGGGCATCCTATTTTGTCTACTGGATTGTTCTAGCGAGAAAAACATGATATTTTGTTAAAATTTTCATCTAATTAAATTCTGACTGAAAAGTTTAATTAAACTGTATATTATTTTGATTTCCATTCTCAACTGCTTGTCTATATCTATTTTAAGTATATTTTCAATAATATTATTCTACCATATTGCATCTATCATTCAGTCAGTGTGAAATCTTCCACAGTTTGTGTCTGATTGAACAATGGTCATTTTCTTTTACATTTAAAATTGTTAAATCAGTTAAATTAAAACCATTCAACTTAGTAATGACCTGTCTCAGAATAAAAAAAAAATTATTGATTTCACCCAAATTTGAGTGTCTTTTAGTCCGTGTATATCACTATTATTCTTGAGTGTTGCATTGAACAAGACAAAATATGCTGCAGGGACCCTGACATAAACTAGGATATGAGTGGAATATAAAGGTAGTTGAGTTGATTGAATGATGGGTGCAGCGGAAAAGCAGGTCAGGGTAAATCGTAATTTTCAATTTTTATGATTTGTACATGTTTTTTAAAAACAGAAATGCTTTTTATCTTTTTTAATATTTTATATGACTTCTCTTGATTTATTAGCTGTATATTCTATCATGTTGCAGAACTAAGTTATACTAGCTAGAAATACTTCTTTCAATGAATTAATATGTATTAAAGATGTTTCAAGAATGTCAATATTAATAATACATCATTCAATATCTCTTGCAATATAGTGTTTAAAAGTTATTCAACAACCAATTGAAATTTTCGGTATTTTTCAAAGTAACAGGAGAAACTATTTAGTTTTGCTTTTTAAAACGATAACTTTAAGAGGTTTACGAACACATTACGAACTGTGGGATGCATGTTTATTACATCACATTACCAACTGTGTAATCTGTCGATGCCTTTTTGATGGAAAATATGTTGTATGTAATAATAAACAGGATTATTTTGTGTTTATTTGATGTATGCTAAAATCCCTGCCACTTGTATCAATTTTAGTAATGAACTAATTTCTAACAAAAACAAAAGCTATATCAGTTGGGACTACTGTATTTGATGCGTTAGAATACCTATTTTTGTTATGATGGTATATGTCACTTGAGTGTATTGATATGTCAAATTTAGTGTGGTTAGTGTAACTCAAAATGGGGGAATAAACAATCTGTGTTTAATTAAAGTACCAAAATGGTCTTGGCTGGCCATTGGAGACAATTTTGTGATTTTACTTAAAATAATTAATGTATTCAAAGACTGTGGTACAGTGCATTAAACAAATTAAATGTGGCCAATGTGTTGAATGTGATAAAGACATTTTCAACTCTTATTAGGTTACTTTTCTGTGGCTTTTCAGTAATTTGTTGTGAATCCCAGGAAAGTTTATTATTTCAACACCACAATAGTTATCAATAAATATGTCTGTTGCTATTTTAGATTTTGTTTACTCATTTTTTTGTCTGAATTAATTGACTTCATCAATATATTAAAGTGATTAACACTCAGTCTGTAATGCTCAACATGTCTTTTCTGTGTTAAGTCATACAAAAATCAAATTATTCTATGTCAGGGGTTTGCTAATTTGAGTGTTTAAGAGTAAGTTTTATAAAAACTATTCAAATTTTCACTGGTAAAAACACATTTTTATATATAATCTACTCATCACACTGAGGTCACATAATAATCAATAAACCTTGTTAAAAATTGAAAAATTAATAAAAAAGTTTATATCAAAGTTTTTTGAGTGACAATGGTATTTTGGGATTCTTTTTTAAGTTTACAACTGATTTTATATTTTTCCTTTGTAGGTTATTCGCTACGCTTCGGTTAACAGACCAGATGATGGTGAGAACTTCTTTTGGCGCATAGTTGGCACCATACGCCGGCGTGCTTCATTCAGTCGTGGTAACTCTGTGTGATAAAGAGAAAGAAAACTTGCCAATAAGATTGGATTTACTCAGTCAGCTGATCTACTGGTTGGGCCTAATGTACAGTACTGTATGAGACGGTTATTCTGATTGGTGCTTTTAGGGGAGAAAAGAAACAAGAAACTGAGTATGGATTTACTCATTTACAAGGCCATAACACTGAGGACACATTTACTTGTGAATTAAAAAAATGCTGCCAGTCAACTATGCGGTAGTTGGCTATAATTTTCTCTTTTTTTCACAAAGCCTTGTCAAATCTTTACACTGTAGAAAGTTCCTCTGCAAATATTTACATCGTGCATTGTATGTCTGTATTCTTCCACCGTTTTTGTCCCGTCTTTCTTGCTCGTAAAATATTATATTAATAACAAAGTTTAAAAGGACAAGTGTTGATAAATCGGGTACTTTAAAGATGACATTGTTCATTCATATCGTGCGTAAATGCCTTCCATAAGCTGTGTGAGCCTGTGAGATCGCTTAATGGTGGATGAGACACTTCTGATGTCTGTGCTATAATGCAGGTGAACACAGCGACAACGAGACCAAAGATTTTTCTAATGAAACAAAAGAAGAAAAAAAATAAAAGATTGATATTGTTGTGAAATAAATGTTTTTGTTTTTTTTAAAAAGGCAAATGTTGAGTAAAAATATTTGAACAGGTCATGGAGTGGAAGTCTGGCAATAGGGGGAATGATTTCTTTGCTTAAATATGTATGTGCAGAATATTTTCAGTGACTTGAAAAATTTTATATAATTATTGTTGATGTTTTGAATCATAATGGTTTACTAATTAATTAGCAATTGTGAACTTCACTGATGATCTCTAGCACTAAGCACAATCTTACACAGCCATATTTACATGATGCTAGCAGGCGCAGTATTCTTTGTCAATTCTTTCACTACATTTCATAGTCTATTTGTCATTTAACAAAACAAGTATTTTAACAAAGAAAAGTAAAAATATACTGTATTTCGTACAAGAAAAAGAGAAATCATTATTTTACCGATGTATTTTTTTTTGACATTTTATTCTCATTTTTCACAAAGCTATGTATTATATTTGTTTGTTGGAATCAAATGAACAGATTCTACAATCAAAGAGGATTATGGGTACACTCACATCACATCACATCTGACAAAGGTCCATGGATGCCCATATTTGGTAAAGTATGTCGCTTACCATCTCCATAAATCTTTATTCCCCCTTTTTTTTGAATCGCGTTTCTCACTGCCAGTTGCTCTTCTCAAAATAAACTTTTATTGTATTTAATTTTTTTTGTGTTTTAGTCAAGATGTTAGATTACTTTGTCAGCATAGTCAATGAACAGATACGTGAGCAAATTTGCATCAACAGTTAACCATTTAAAATTTCCCAGTTTGATTAACATGACCATGAACATATTCAAATGAGAATCATGACATCACAGTCAATGAATGTGAACTTTATTTTTCTTATTCCATTAATTGAAAGTGATTGACCTTAGGGTTGCCAAATTGTACCTCATGATTGTGTTTCTAATTTATTATATGTTTTTCTTCAGACTAGTATTTACTAGTCAATGTGTCTTTCATTATCTTGTAGTATGTTCATTTGTGCCTTGGAGAGCAAGTACAACAATTTCTCTTTCTAAGTAGAGTTTTTTTTTTAAATAAGAAAGAAATGTTGTAGGCATTTGAATTTTTGAAGGGCCTGTCTTCCTGGAATGCAAGTCTCACTGCCATTTATCCACTGATGTTTAACGTATTAACCCCACAATAAATTCTTTATCATTTTGATGTCAACTTGTATTTGCAAATACCTATTTGAATAATGCATTCATTCAATTATTTGTGAAACAACAAACAGTATTTTGTGATACAGCAGAAGACTGCCTTTGTACCACGTACCCTATTTACAATGTACAGGTACTGTCTGGATTTATGTATAACGTTACATATAGAGATAAGATTGCACATTTTCAAATCTTGTAAGAAATTAAAATGAAATTTTAAAGTAACATTAACGCATTCCAGGAAACCCACCTCAATTTTGATGAATAGTTATTCCTATGTGTTGTTCTCATGAACTGGTACAGCCTCCTACTTATGATAGTTTTTTAGCCTACTTTTCAGCATTTTAGGGGTATTTGCAGCTTTGTGCTGCTGTGGAATACAGATACTTACATTGTAACCTGTTTGATCTCACAAATACAAAACACCAGATAAAAAAATCCTTCTGTAAAATGCTTTAATTTTACAAATTGGCATGATTTACATTCAGTGTGGTTGCAGTGAATTCTGAAAGCCCTCAAATTATTAAATTGATTGGTGTTGAAATGTCAGCAGTTTACAGTTACCTTTGCAGGTTGGTATTTCAAAACTTACTTGTACACCAAGAATTGGTGTTAACTCCACCCACCCCCCTCATAACAGATCAGTAAGACAAGATAAATACCTCATTTTCAGTTAAGATCATGTTTTGTTTTTCAGAAACTAAAGCATGAACCACTCATCCCAACACAAATACCCAATAAATTTCTCATGGTAGAGTAGTGGCAATATTTTTATTACTATAATAGAGATGACATTAAACTATATTGGAGTTTACATTTGTGCAACTGAGGCAATGAAATTGACTTAACCTTTACCATTGCTGCATGCAGTCACTGTCACTGGACAGTTTTTAATCAGTACTTAGATGTAACAAAGGCCGTAGTTTTGACTATGCAGTATTGTATCCTGTTTGCGTGACCAAATATTAATAATACTTAGGATGTAATCAAATAATTGTAAATGGCCTTTGAATTTGAATTTATTTTTTTCACATACTTTAGACTGAGAACAAGATACTGCCAAGGAAGAGTGAAAAATAGTAATGTTGCAGAAACAAATATATAACTGAGCTAGAATTAGTTGACTGCTCAATATGGTAAAATAATTTTCTATAATTTATAAAAACTAACTTGTCCCAACTTGCATCCAGTTGACAGGCCAAAATGTGCAGTTTCTAACATTCCATGAATTCTGCCCAGGTTACTGGCATTTGCAATATTTTCAATGGGGGTGAGCCATTCTTGGTATCTGCAATTTTCCGGAGGGGTGGTATATTAGATTGAACAGTCATTGTTGGTATCTGTCACATTTCCATTATTGTTGAATTTCTCTTCACATTTGCTATAATATAATAATTACTGGGATATTTGGGGGCTGGGAAAGTTATTTTGCTCTGTTTTGTTACCCTGACAAGTTTGATTTCAGAATGTGCTGTAAATATATTTATATATTTTAAAATTTAATACAAACATGTGAGTGATGTTTTTATTTTTCACTGACTTTTCCTGCCCCTCCCAAAGGTCATGTGACAAGTTAAAGAAAAGTTGGTACAGAATACCAAGCTGATTGTATAGAGCTTTTCAAAACAGGAATTGTCCGACTGGGGAAGTAGTGGTGTGATGATTGAAGGGTTTGCTTCCCCAAATTGTTCAAATAAGTGCATATATTTATGACCATGTGCCCTCTCCTCTCTCCTGGAATATAATGTGAAGGAATTGTTTGTGAGCAAGGTTTGATTATTTTCACTATGATAGTGAAAAAATAACTAGTCCCCTTCCATAAAACAACATCCTTGTCTGTTATCATTGTATTCCTGATGAGTGCATATTCCGAATGATTTACTTGCACCTTGCCCCTTCTATTCAACAAGTTAGTTGGCAGGTGGTACATGGGATTGTTTTAACTGCATGACTTGGCATACTGTGCAGATAACAATACACTGGTATGGACTTGTGGACATTTCTGAGGTTTTAGTAGCCCTCTATCACCATCATTATACCCCCACCCACCCCCAGGTATAGCATGATCTGTTGTCGGTACAATTCACTGTCAGCATCACTGTGTTTTCAAGTTTTCATCATTATCTTGATGTAATAATATATATAGGTTTCTATAGTGTAATAAAATTATCATGTCAACATTTGTGTGTTTATTTATTCCATCTTACGTCATCTAAGAATAATTGGCAGTGTACACAGTCTCCATAAAGCATGAAGCCCAACATTTGTAAATAAGGGTATTTAACTCGCTATTCTTACACTCATTATTTATATTATTTTTTGTTCACTATTTTCGCAGGGTTGTGCCCTAATCCCAGTATCCATTGAAGAAAAAGATTGCTTATTTCTGTCTCTTAACTGTTCTTTCTGCCTACACACAACAACTTTCAGCCAAACTTAAGTTCACCATATGAGATTGTGTCAAGTCTAACCTCGCAATCTTTGCTTCCGAGTCTAATATTTTTAGCCAAGTCTAAGCCGGCATTCTTCCAAGTCAAAACCCACCAACATTTGTGTCAACGCAAAGCTCAGCATAATTTCTGTCAGGATAGTCCCACCTTTTCAGAAAACCCCTTTTCCGATTTTAAGCAATACGAGTAAGACTGGACAAACATCAGCGTCTCATTCCGACCATATATACTATAATAGTAGAATCTAGTATAATATCTGTCATAGGCGAGAGCACAAGAGTACTAGTATTTCATCATTGCCCAATGCCCATTGTTTCTTTACCATTACCATGGTAATGATAATCCTCCATTGTTGTTTCCGTGTTGGGCGAGAGTTGGCAAATTCCACCACAATTGAAACCACAAATTGTAAATACTGTGTTATGACACGGTTATAGGTGTTGTCAATAGGAACCCACTGATACGTAAAACTGATTTGCCAAATAACAGTACATATTTTAGCTATGTTTCTTTTGTGAAAAATGTTCCGGATAACTTATGAGCCAAAGTGAACAAGATGGTCACGGCATAAGTTAGTGTCAACGCTCCCATCAGTTGACGCGATCCACGGTGAAGTTTTATTCTAATACACTTCAGTGTACAACATTATTTACGACAAATCACGTCCATTATGACCATTTTATTAGTTTTTTACGCTTTCCACTCGCCAGAATGAAATATCAAACAAGCCATAAAATGGGGTTTTCGTGTTTATAGGCCCATCTCAAAA